CGGGTCCCGACATATCTGAAACGGGGACTTACTCATACATATGTAAATAAGATTTAAAAATAAAACTCTGCCCATTTCTCTTAGAGTCAGAACATAAAACTTAAATTTAACAAAGTTATAGTCTAATAAAAATACATTTTTTTTTCAATTATAACAAGGGTGTAAGCTTAGCGGAAAAATTAATATTTTTACGCTCAAGTATTAAGGAATATGTTATATTCGTAAAAATCACGTTGTGTACTTACCTGAACTTTTCTTAAGGACGGCCGTTGCAAATGCTTAGGGAAAACTGTGGGGAATTTGGAAATTATTGTTTATAAATACGAGGAGACAGTTATCAGATTTCCGTCAGTAGTTTATCTCGTATTTTCCGAAACTCCCATCATAAGTTGGAATTTCCAAGCTCGATCAACTGTACGATAGATATGATTATGCAATTTAGATTTATCAAAAGAAAACGTAAAACAAAATAGTTACTTTGTCAGTCTGTTCGTTAAGTACTTTTTTAAAGTCAAAATTTATGTCAAGAACGCAGTGCCGGATTAACCACATATCAAGAGTAGCAATTATTACGGGTCCTGCGCCAAAAGCCATCAGCCATCATCATCTCTGACTGAGAAATAATTTTTTTTATTGAAACATATTAAATAATTATGAGTAAAGATTTTTTTTTTGCTTTGGCTGTTTGAAATAATTTGCTACGGGTCCCGCACTCGCTTAATCCGGGACTGCAAGTGCGTAGTTCGTTACATCTATGTCGTCACTATGCCATAGAAATTCACGTCTGTTTGTGTCACATATTTTGGTAGTCGTAAATTCACTTAATAAATCTTGGCACTCTTCCAGCTGACTTAGGAACAGCAACAGATCGGATATATTTTTGTGGGTCCCCAGCAGAGGCACGCTTCATAATAGGAAGATTCACCTCATTGCGGGTTTTGTGAATAAAAAGAGAGGAGTACGATTCGATAATCAAAAAGACTTAACTGTAACTTTATTACCTAAGATCGCAGCACAGCTTATGTTATACAGCGTCATAGGTTGTGATTGTAATAAAAAAAATTGTATGGGATGTATTTCGTAAACCTTAAAGTAACTAAGGACTTACTTTTAGGTTTACGAAATAATAATAAAAAGAGGACTAACCAAAAACAAAAGAAAAATAAAGTAAATTTTATTTTTTGAAGTCACATACAGGTGAAATACTAGTTTTATAAGTGATGTTCAATTTCAATCCCAAAAAAGATTTTTGAGGCATCAAACTGGTATCAGCTCTCCGAATGACATTATCAGTGGATGATACCTTAGTCCACTATACATGATTAAAGACGCCCACTAGTCTTCGACAGTTTTGTTGTATTATTGACTAGCTGGTGCCCGCAACTACGTCTGCGTCGAATAGGCTAAAGGCGTAACATTCAGACAGAGAGACAGATATACATAAAATATGTATGTAAATTATAGTCTATGTCCTATTCTGATATATAAGCTGTTATTGTAAATTTTCATTAAAATCCATTCAGCACGTGAAAGAGTAACAAACATCCATCCATCCATACAAACTTTCGCCTTTATAATATTCGTAAGGATATACATGACGCTATTATATATACAAATAAATAAAGTGAAATTTACTAATATTTACTTGAAGTTCTGTTTTTAAAGTTATTTATTATTATGTTTATATACTTATATATACATATGAAAATAAAGATAACTTGAAAAAAATACAATATTTGACAGTCTCTTAATAATAATTAACTTAAAGTTACAGTGTGAGGTATTCAACAAACAAAATTGCTACAAAAATAAAGAGAAATAATTGGTAAAACCTTATTTTTTATTTTTTTTACCAAATAAGCTGACAATATCTCCAACTCTAGAGGTATTTGATATCATCCGACAGTTATCAAAATTTGTTTTCAACACCCAACAAAAGGTCCTGCTGTTATTGGGTGTTGGAAACTCCCAGCTCAGCTTAATTAACTCCAGCTCCGTATTTCCTTCCTTTGGAGCATAACCCACGCGTGCTCAATCGAGCTTAAGTTCGGCGATTTAGCAGGCCACGGCAGAACTTGAATATTCTCCGGCAAGAGATATTCTTTAGTGTTCCTGGCATTTGCGGACTAACGGCGTTGCGGAAAGGGCAGTCCGGCTGAACAAATCTTAAAGAAGGCTTTAAAAATACGCTTTGTACTATAAATGAGATGGTTTGAAGTTGGAAGGTTCCATACAAATATAATCCCATACAGATAAATTACGAATAACTAAATAGAACCTGAACCGGTAATTTACAATTTATAAATAAAATGACTACTACATACTGCTAATCTTTCTAATATCTTTACGGTTTTAGTTACAATTTCATTTGTTTTTACTATTCTCGGCCCTTTCCTAAAGGATAAATATCATTATAGATAGTAATAAAACAGTTAATTAATTAAAAATAAAAAATAAGAAAGTAAGATATCTTTAAATCAAGTTTGATTTAAAAAGATACTTACTCATAATCTAAGAGTTTTCATTGTAGTATTCAAACAGACAGCGGGACGATTGGAAAAATGGATATTTGATTTTCTAAACATTTTTTTTCGCTGTTGTACCAAGACGTAAATCCGTCCGAGTAAGTACCAAGACTTCACAGAAGACCGGCAGAAATATGCCACTCCATGGCATGGCAACCCTATGGGTGTTGCAAATGTCAATAGGCGGTGGTTATCATTTACGCATTTTATAAAAAAATGGGTGCGTGTACTTATGCACGCGCGTGAGAAGTTATATTTATTTGACATCATTAAAATAGTATTTAATTGCATGCAAATAATTACAATAAAATAATAAAAAGACTGGAAAAGGATATAAATAATATAAAATTATGAAAGGTCCATGTACATTCCTTATTGAGAACTGTAACGGGCGAATGTGATTGAGAATATGCTGCCATCAAAGCCGTTACTTTAGTATTACAGTGATGCGCGCGCATTTTAAAATTTTACTCTCATTATTTTTCCATAACGCGCCTAAAGAAGAAGAACTTAAAAAAATACCTATCAATGTAATCCTTATACATCTCATCAATTGTAGTAAACGTAATTAATCTTTTAACAGTAATATCCAAAAAAGCCTGCAATTCTATTAATATAGCCGATTTATTTGTTAATGTATATTAAAATATGTAGAAAATATGTAGAAATGTATAGTTTGAGTTGGATAGCATTTTGCTTCTTTTTTTGCGGTGCGTAGTGGGATGGAAATATGTTAACACTAGTTACTTGAGTGCTATGCCGTAACGTATCATATTGGCATTTCTTTAATTTATGAGACAAAAACAAGCAACACTGGTGCGAATTCAGAATTCAGAATTTTTCAACAAAAAGACAATCTTTCACAATCATTTCTTGTGGATTATTAATCAAATGCTCTATTTCAGCAATGCATAACTTCCCTTTTTTATTTTAAACGTGTATGATGTATGAGATACTTCGTCTATTGATATCGTTTTCACATTATGTTCTATACAACTTTTTTTGCCTTATAAATTAATTCAGTAAAAGATTTTCTAGGACTTACAGTGGTCGAATGCCAACAGATGCTTTTACTAGAGATGGAGATACAAACTATATGTCGTCTTTTTCCACATAAATTTTCTTAAAATGAGAGCAAATTCAAAAGAAGTACATATTTGAAATAAATCGGTTAATGCAAAAAAATAAGATAACATAAAATTATTTAATTAATATTATAAAGAGTACAGATTTCAAAAATGTGCATATGAATCCAAAAGTTTGTTTGTCGCAAATTTAGTCCACTTGCGTCGCTTACCTCCAGAAAAAGGAATGGCTCGTGTTTTATGGTAGGCGCTATGTCGGTTTTCGGTGTAACCTCTAACGGCTTCATGGATATCACTGTGATTAGAGTAGAAATATGAGTATGAAGAGCTGTTTTTTGAAAAATCTGATAAGACTTACATATTGAAGACATTAAAGCAAAGGCAATAATTGAATATCTTTTAAAATCGCAAATTGTAAGCGATAACATATTAAATAAGTATCACATGTTTAAAAAAATGATATTTTAGTTAAAATTATGTTTCTGATATCGAACATGATACTATGTGAAGCAGTTATATGTAATATCCATAAATTATAATTACCTCAAAATGTGGTTTTTGTCGGTATGCCTTACCTTTCACACTTCTTCGTCAAAAGATGATTCAAACTCCATTTAATGCTTATATTTGTCGCTACTGATGAAAAATATACAAGTAGAATAAAGTTAGTTTTATAAAAAAATCTTTAAAAAAAGAGAATGATGATTCCATCTAATGACAATTTGTAAAATTGCATGATAGCGAAATATATTGAAAGACGTTTTTCTCCATAATAACGATTTATTAACCTTTCATTGACAAATATTTATTTACACATTCGCTAAGTGAATTCAAAATTCAAACAAGTGTTGTGCAACAATTTGGCACGGTCAACTACTGTTGCAGATTACCCAAAGGTTTCAATGAATGGACTAACTCAATTAAAATAAGACTCAAATGTAAAGCAAGAAACTCTTCACTTAAGTTTTTTGTAAAGTTTTTTTTTAAAGCGTCTTGCCGCGAAACCAGAAGACGCAAGTTTACTTTTAATAAGCTTTGTATTCTATGCTTATTAGTATTCTAAGTTTGACTATGAGTTGATTTACCATTTTGATTTACCAGACACAATTGTCACACATCACTATCTTTTTTGTTCATATCTGGCTCGAATTCCATAATTTACTTAGATCTCGTAAAAATAAACATTAAAAACATAAAATTAATTTAAAAAACGTAATTAAATATATCAAGAAAACGATATATTTATGAATTGTTTTAAAGTTACAAAATAAACACAAAACTCTGCTTAATTTTTTATTATGAGAAATAAAACAATTTATGGGTTAAATACTATTGATTCGAGATTCTGGTCAAATTGTCGTTGTTTCTCAATGCCTGTCGTCTTTTGCTAATAAAAGCATGGATCATAACGGTGGTGATTTCTTAAATTGTTGGGCTTTTGGATCGGATTGCGCAGGGCGGCCGACGATACGAAACAAGAAGTGGACGGGTGATTCTGATGCATCACGGCACTCGCTGGTACTGGGTAAGGCGAATATGTCGGCTGATTCGGTATGACGTTACATGGTGAGTACCGAGCGTACAGCGGTACGCCGGGACTGATCGATGTCCCAATTATGTTTTGTCTCGGTACGCGGGGGTCAGTATTCCACTGCATTCTGTAAAAGAAAGATATATAACAATAAGTTTAAAAGCTCTTATCCTCAATAATATACAACTATTAATAATTTATTACATGTGTATAATAAAATATGTCTATGATCTCTACAACAATGCTATATGGCGAAAATTATTATCTTTGTGACTTTTTCCCACCAACTGTTTATTGAGTGTACTTGTCTTTCTTCTTCCATGTAGTATATAATATAATATAAATAACTTAGTAGTTGTTTTTTCGAAAAAGTTATTAAAAATAGCTACTTACATGTTTCTAAGTTACTAAAAAAATAAAGAATAGAGAAATATCTTGACGGAATAGTAATTGTCTCGCGAGTCGCAATCACTTATGCTTCTATCACGACTGTGGGCTGTATCACCCGTATATATATGAATACATTATCAGACGTTAATCTGTTTTGCTGTAACGAGATCTTTCTTGCTATTATTAGAACAATATCAGAACTATATGGCGAAACAATCTAGAAGATAAGTCACAAATAAACAGGTTGGCGCTAAAAATAAAACAACTGACAATTATTTTGTATCTTATCAGATTAGTGAAAGGGATAAACGATAAATTTACCAGAAGATTCTTAACACATCAGTAAAAGCTGCTATGAAGAGTTATTTATTTACACAGCTCTGCCACACCTCTTCATGCGAAATTCCACAAATTCAATTTTTATATTAATAAGGTAATTTCTATTCATATGTAGTATTGTGCACATACCTATTTAAATGTACAGGACTATATAAGTAATTCAATAAATGCCCCAGGTAAACCATAATAGAACTGTAATGACGGGGGCACCTCAATGCGGTATTACTTACGTTTTTCTACTATTTTTTTAACTGCCTGTTATAATTTTGAGGTTTTAGAATGATATAGACAATACTAGCGTAGAAGAAAATAAAATTTTCGTGTATTGGCAGCAGTTATTACAATCAGTTACAATTCTTGAACGTAATAAGTAATAACTACAGTAATAGGTATTTGCTTACAATTTATACAATTCAAATGTTATTATTTATATAATATAATTCGGTTTTTTCCGGAAGTGTTCGTGTGCATAAGTTCGTGCATTATTACGTAACTTCTCTTAATTTTACCTTCGGCAGCACTGTTTTTAAATCCAAGGCGTTAAACAACATAAGCAAGTAGGCAATTAACATGTTGAATTCATAAAAAGTTAGACAGTAGAAGTATACATCTAGCTGTTATGTGCATATGGAATTGATAGTACCCGGAGGACCGAGCTTCGCTCGGTTTGTTTTTTTTTTTTTTGGTAAATCGTGTATTTTAGAAATTACATTTAGATACAAATTACTGAGTAATGAAATATGCATAATATTTTTCGATCTTACCGACGTAATAATAAAAAAATATGAACTGATGTTTTTCACCAAAGAAAGAACTTTTTTTTTAAAGTTCTTTCTTTGGTGAAAAACAAAATAACAAATCGACAAAAAATTAAAAATATAGAAAGCAATGATCTGGATCCGAAAAAAAAGTAAAAAAATAAATACGTAAATGATCGTGACGCGAACCACGGCCGTCTGTTTTGGGGCCGCCCGATTACCGACCGAGCTATTATGACATTTTCTCTTGCGGCGAAATTTACCGTCATATTCGAATTATATTTTTTCATTCCCTGAAAACAGGGATAAAAGGACATTTTCTAAAAATGAAACCTAGCTAGATCGATTTTTCGCCCCCGAATCTACGCACATATTAAATTTCATGAAAATCGCTGGAGCTGTTTCCGAGATTCCGATTATATATATATATACAAGAATTGCTCCTTTAAAGGATTTAAAGGATAAGAGATATGACGTAAGAATGTCGTTACTATGCAAACTTATAACTAGAAGATATTAAGTACTGCTTGTAATGGTTCATACCCATGACACACAAGTATACTTTCACATATTTCTCCATAATTTTCAACTTCCGCTAGATATGCGAATGCTTTTGACACGTATATTAGAAAATATCGAAAATGATTCCATAATTATAACCTGATATCACTGAATCACGAAGTCAAAAAAGCCTGTAATCGCTATGACAATTGCATGACAATGTTATTATTGTCAAAGCAATTACAGGCTTTGGCAGGAAACATTGCTGCATGTTGCTATGCCGCAGTCGTTAACTGAAATGACATAATAAAATATATATATGCGCCATATAGATATTTAACATTTATATATATTGATAGATTAACAGGAAATACAGTTCCTTATCAAAAATTTATCTTTTTATTCGACCATTTGATTTTTTTTCAGTATCCGTTTACACTTACGTTTGTCCTTTTCTTTTCAGATGGTTTTCCTTTTTCTGGGTAAACATGGTGTAACATTTATATCAAAATACCAGAAAATTCGTTTGTTATAATAGAACTTTTCTTTATAAATTATTTAATTTAATGTTTCTTGTATATTGGAACTAATAATAGGCTTATTTTATTATACGAAAAAATTATGTAATTTAATGTTTCTTGTATATTGGAACTAATAATAGGCTTATTTTATTCTACGAAACTGTGATAATGCATGTGGCATTGCCCAAGCTGATTCACGGGTTAACACGCGATGGTATTTATTAAATTGCCTGATGTGTTATTTTAAGCTTAGAGAGTTCATTTTTATACTTTTCGTTACAGAAAAAAATGTTATAAACTCGTGATGAATCAGCACTTAAAATCAACGACAGGGTACTCCAGTATATTGAATTAATAAAAAAAAAGTCATTGCAAAAATACAGTAATTAAAAATATAGCACTATTTTAGATACTATTCAATTTAATAAAAATTACCAGAATTTTGTTGTGTTTTTAAAAGTTTTCTCGGAACAACGCAGTTCTTTTTGCTGTTCTATGCAACAATTAAAATTTTACGTCAATATGCGGTGAATTATTCGAGGGGTCCAAAAATTGCATCTCTGCAGGGAAACCTCTAATAAAGATGCATTTATTATCTAAAATCTAAGCAAGATGATGACAGGAATAAAAAAAACTACATAAACACATCAGAACACATCGCGCTCGCCGGCGAGTAACGCGGCAAACATATTCTATGTTCCGCCACGTATCTATCAGGTTTTCCCCAGTTAATGATAGAAGCGTTGCTGGAGTTTCTTCCGCCACATCTCCCAGCGCCAATGCCTTCCGAAGTGGTAGTAGCGATAGATGTAGAAATTCTTCCAGTCAGACTATAGCTACCGATCGAGCCGAGGTCCGACCCTCTCTGGCACCCTCGAATCGGAATGCTCGCGTTTTGAGTGACAGCCCAAGACGAGGCCCCCTCTCGGGAGCCCTTGAGCCTATTCACTCTATGGACAGTCCGCCAAAGCGCTCTAAGAGTTTGGTGGCCACCCAAACCGGTGATGATTAGGCCCGAGCCGAGGCTCCCTCGGGAGCCCTCGAGCTTAGTCACCATAATGCATAAGGCCCCTAAGGCCAACAGTGGACATGCAAAAAAAATGGCTCAAAAGTTAAATTGTTATATTTAATATAATTTTTTAAATTGTTATATATATTTTGTGCACATATTTAAATTTAAAACTTAAACTTATAAGTCGTCTTAAAGACCTATGTTTTACTAAATGCCTCGGATAAACGGCGACAGAACTGTAATGTTGTCAGGGGTGAGACCTTGTTGAGGTAATATTTTCTCGGAAGTTATTCCTATCAGCTATAATTCTTGTTCGGCATGTTTGTTCTCGTAGCTATAAATCCGTGCCTTAAAGCGTATCTTCTCTAGCTCTGAATTTGGCAAGTTTTGTGCTTAAATTCAAAACTATAACAAATTACACTAAGATACGATTGGCATTTAATCATATCATGCAGACAGAATTTCGTGAGATAATACTCAGAAGTTACATGAAGAGAAGAAGACTAATGAATAGTGAATCTTGTGGTAGACGGTGTAGGATAACGGTTGAGGCTACGATATACGAAGAAGAATAATATAGACTATGTATACGTCTTGTTTTAATTTTCTTCGTTAAATATGTTTGTTACATATCAATGTGACACATGTATTATATTTATTATGAGGATCGCCTCATGTTGAGACTGGCGAATGAAATAAGGAGGTTTAACACCATGACGCTCGGACAAGACAGGGCTTTTAAAACATCAATCATTAATATGCATTACCGGTACATAATGTATACATGGACGTTATGTATGTATATTTCTCCCATATTTTCAACTTCTGCAAGATATCAGAAAGATTTGGACAGTTGTTGTATAATTATAACCGTATATTTACACCAGAAACATCATGTTATATCTAAAAAAATTACTATATTATTACCTACAATTGCTATGTCATACTTAAAGGTTGCCATGCCACAGTCGTTGAGTGTTATACATAACTAAAATGATTAAAATAAGTAAAATGCGTCATACAGATATAAATATTAACATTTATTGATACGCTTATGATTGGCAATGTTAAAATTCTAATTTATTCAATGAAAACAATATTATAAATTCTGCTATCGGCATTCAGCAGGCAGATAAGCTAAGGCCAGCATTAGTTTAGTTTAGGAATTCAACCAATTATTTTAAAGTTGAAACTCAATTGCTGGTACCTAGACTTTGGTACGATGGGAGGTAAAGTTGACGTATAAAGCGATCTTTTCGAAATTAATAAACTATTTAAAAATAGGGGTCTTCATTTGAATTATTTAAAATGTGGAATTTGATTTATAAGTATATACCTATAAAAAAAGTTTTAGCTCTATTCACACGAAGCATCAACATAGTATCTGCTGACTCACTTTTCTTTATCTTATGTGCTCTTTTATTTAAAAAAAATCTCTTATTTCTTCTATTTCTATATCTCTTCTATATCTTTTATTTAAATTAATATTTAGACCATATTAACAAATTGTTCTTACTAAAATGGCGCTTACCATTTTACGGTATTGAATTGTCGTACTTAAATTAAATTATCTCTTTTGCCCAAATCCAGTTCAGAAATAAGGCGATTTTCTGAACGAAATTGATTTATTTTTTATTAACACAGCTCTAGAAAAAAAATCCAAATTTACCTCTTAATTAATCTAGCTGTACCCAAGCTATCGATGTCAATTTGATTTAGTATTGGTGTACGAAAAACTTTTAGTGTTGCCTGCCTTCCTTGCTTTCGTGGATAGTATACATAATCTCTGTAAAGTCCTAAATTACAATTCGTACCATTTCTATGCCATGGCATAGGAGAGCAATGAGGTCTTTCTGCTCTAATGATTTTTTACTAGAACTCAACCAACAAAAAACGGGCCTAAGCCTTTAGTGCAGAGATTTTAAAAAGCCTTGTTTCAATCTGTAGTGATTTACCTAACGTGTCCCATTTTTACGCGTCTCCTTTAAAGAATGTAGTTATTGGCTTGACGCTTTATGATCAAATATGTTGGCCAGATTACTTGATGGTGAAATCTGTCTATGACCACCGATTTTTCAAGCACGCCAATGTTCTTGCATTATCTTCTTCTTCTTTCGTTGGGGCTGCAACCCTTTGTGGGTCTTGGCCTCTTCTTCAATAAATAACCCTCCATTTGTCTCGAAGCTGGGCTATCCTCCTCCAGTTTGTAATCTTTCCCATCCTCGTGAAATCTTCCTCCACACAGTCGATCCAACGCTTTTTAAGCCTGCCTTTCGTCTCTTCTATTTCGGTGTCATTATTTTCGCTGATTTCGTGTCTGGCATTCTCTCAAGGTGCCCCGCCCATCTCAGCCGATGTGACAAAAGTTGACGATCGCCTAGTGTCCGATAAGTGCGTCCAGTTCATAGTTCATTCGCTGACGGTAGGTGCCGTTAGAGTATTTCACTGGCCCGTAGATTTTCCTTAACACCTTTCTCAAACACAGCAAGTTTCTGTTAGTCCTTCTGAATTAGGGCCCAGGTTTCACATAGTATCGGCTTCTTTTTCGAGTCATAGTTATCGGCCATTCTGTTTTTCGACCTGCTAGTGATAACGATGCCATCCGCATAAGCTGCTAACTAGGTGGTATTAAAATCGATTAGTCCATTTATGTTATATTTTTGGATAACAGCTTCAAGTACAAAGTTGAAAACGATGGATGAAAGTGCGTCGCCTTGCTTGAGCCCGAGTGGATTTCGAAAGGTTCTGATATAATATTTTGGATAGCGCCAACTGATTTGGAGAACTTCAAAGATGCTTATTCACATGCATAGGTCACAACAGGTCTGATGAGGGTTCGGTAGATGACTTTTGATCTTGTACTGAGAAGTTTAGAGCTCAGCAGTTGGGTGCGCGAGTAGACATTTATTTTCAGCAACTATCCGCGCTCTTATTTCTTCGCCTGTCCTGTTCTGGGAGGTAACCGACGATCCCAGATACTTGAAGCTGTCAAGATCATTTATCGTTTGGTCTCCCACAAGAATATTTTCTAATGGCCTAGGCTGTCTTGAAGTCATAAGGTATTCAGTTTTGCTTTAGATGTAAGCCAAAATTAACGGCTTCTTTTTCGAGTCACAGTTATCGGCCATTCTGTTTTTCGACCTGCTTGATAACGATGCCATCCGCATAAGCTGCTAACTGGGTGGTATTAAAATCGATTAGTCAATTTATGTTACATTTTCGTATAACAGCTTCAAGTACTAAGTTGAAAACGATGGATGAAAGTGCGTCGCCTTGTTTGACTCCCGAGTGTATTTCGAAAGGTTACGATATATCATTTTGGATAGCGCCAACTGATTTGGAGAACTTCAAAGTTGCTTCTAGAAGTCGCGCTAATTTACTTGCTACACCTAGTTCTAACATGCTAGTGAGTATTTGCGGTCGTTTTACTCAGTCAAACGCTTGCTTGAAGTCAACAAATGTGTGGTGCAAGTCGATGTTATACACTTATGCTATTTCTAGTGTTTGACGCAATAGATGAATCTGGTCCACGGTGGAACGATTAGGTCGGAAAACGCATTGATACTCCCCTTTGATCCCCTCTGCATACTCACTGAAGCACTATATGTGCTCAAACAATTCCAGAGAATATTTTATAGGCTGTCGGAATATGAATATACGAATATACGGCTTACGAAATACTGATATACCTTTGTAATTACTACAGATACTTTTGTTTCTTTTTTTGTAAATAGGTACGGTACAATGATAACTGGGTTCCACTCCTCGGGTATCTTCTCCTCCTCCTATATCATTACGATAAGTCTATAAAGTCGGTCTTTGAGACGTGTACCCACTTTGTTCTTGCAGTATCAATGTAGATAAATACAGTTTCCACGGGTTTCATATAAAAATAGGTAAAAGTAATTATAGAGATTTTAAATATAATACAAGTCAAGTATGGCAATGAGAAAACATGTCACATTAAAATTTCAGTAAAGTGAACCCGTTAGTTTTATCCCTACGGAAAATCGCTCAAAGCGGCTAAAGAACTTTTCACTTCGAAGGTGCTCGGCGTGTTTCTCGCCACGGTTCCCTGAACGACATTCTTACGGCTCTTGATTCCATCAATGTTCCCTCAATTTTAGACCCGTATGGTATTTTCCGTCACGATGGCAAAATACCTGATGGCTCGACGAGTGGTCTAGGTTTGCTTTAAAAACTGGAATTTATTTGCTTTTTATTACAATCGTGACAATTTTTTAGTATTGTAATCTTTTTGTCTATATTTCGTCAAAAGCGGAGAATACTAGCTTTAAAATTAAAACAAAGTTATATTACTTTCTGATTGCTCATACTGAAAGTACATATCTATATCTATACGTATATATTTTGTCCGCAATGCGTCCTAATCACGCGTTTAATGAATGATTACAGTAGACATTATCATTCAAGTGCAATCCTGCCTTGATAACGAACAATGGTGGTGTGAGTTGTAGCAATTTACATATTAGCATTTGATGAATCATGTTACTGGGCTAATTAGCGCGTGAGTGTTAGTAGTTTTGAAAGCGCTAACGTCTTTGAATTAATATCAAATCACTTTCAAGCCAAGTGATGATAGCAAAAGTGTGTCCATTACGGCTAATCTTTCATATCAGACATTACTGCGACAATTCAATCATTCAATGCTCTAGTTGAGGGTCAAACAATTGGAAGTTGTGAATTCATTTTCAATATCTGTATATTTGTTTTAAAATATTAGACCTTACTCATTCAGGTAGAAGAATATTATGTTGATAACTCTGCACAAATGCAAAATCATTGGTTCTTTCACGGTAATAAAAAGCTCAAAAAAAGAATCGAAGTCAGTATCATAAAAGTTTTAATTATCATCATCATTCAGACAAGTACATTAGTAGCATAAAGCTTAATTACCGAATTTATGGTCATCTTTCTTGTCCATAATTAAGTACAGGGTAATTAGATGCTTTGACATTGAAAATAGGCAATAGAAAACAAACAATCACAATTATTTTTAATGGAGGAATGAAGAAAACAATTAAATACGTAATTGAGTTACTTGACTCCACTTTCTTCCAATCCACACATTAGCACTTGTCTTCACAAAATGGTAAATAAGCTTTGGGGCCTAATTCTTAGCCACCAGCCACAATCAAATCTTGTTCATCATTCAGAGAAACAAAACCAAGAAATCATGGTATCAGCTTCCATTGATAGATAAATTATCTTTGCTTGTGCATAATCTTGTTTTATGTTTACAAGATAGTACAGAAATTTCTGGTGAAATTCTCAGAACCATTCTAAAAACGTGGATCGTAATGGTTCAGAAGATGGTGATTGTTCGTTCTTGAACTGCGTCTGCGTTGATTGTAGTTAGGTGCAAAATTAAGGCACAGTAATAAATGGGGCGGTACTGTTGTACCTAAGTGGTGATTGTCCAGTAAGAGATGGCTTGTTCTCGGCTCTTCTCTTCTTGATCGGTAAATGGCGTCTAATACGGGGCACCTTTCCATTGGGGTCCGTTGCATTCTGAAAAGTTAGTTAATTGTAATAATCAAACACTAGTCCATGAAAAATTGCGCAGTTACAGAGAAAGTTTATGACTATGTTATTGTTAATGATGTATATATTTTTTATATATTCAATCCATGGCAAGATGTTATTCACAAAACTTCCTATATACAAAATATTTTATTCTTATTTGATACCATGTTGATTATTATTGATATATTTAATTGTTTACTTGTAACGGTATTTACACAAAACTAATTCCTTGTATGTTACGTGAAGGAAAATACTGTATTATATGTCACTCGGGTCATACCTTCTTAAACAAAAGCCATCACATGGCCTGCTGTAGATCTAACCCAGAATAGCGAACATGCATTAGGTTATACTACCAGATAGAACGACACGCGGTATTTACCTTGCCAAGAATGTGGTGATACCCCAAAATATTTCAGTGTACTTGTAAATAAGTTCGACTATACTAACTTTTAAAGGTTTAATCACATCCTAATTCAAAGTACGTGAATTTCGATTGATGTAGTTGCACCAGCTGTACTAAAAGAGGCGGTTAAGAATGGTGTTGTAACCAACGCGATACGTATTTATATCACTCTTTATCAGATGTCAAAGTTATCTTAAATATATGTTTCCGTTATTTAAAGTAGTTTACGGGGAAAGAACCACGTACCTATACGCTTACCATTTACTTGCTAATCAAGACTAGATAATAAAACAAATAACTCATAATATAAAAACAAAGCGTTAGATCTCCAAAACAGTTTTGTTTACAGTGTGTATTCTTGCAAATCCAAGAAATTCCATATCTTAGAGAGTTTTAAGAAATGATAAAGTTGTTATTATTGATACCTCCTTTCATTTCCCAGTTTTTGATAAGGCTTGTTTTCCTTTTATCGGCAAATTGTAGTAAGAGTATTATACGGACATAGTCACAATTATAAACCAAAAATTTGTTATAAGAACAATAAATACAAAGCAATATTATTAAATATTGCTAAATTGCAACACGGGCCGTATTTCACTATAGTGAATTTGTTCTGTTTGGAATTTTTATCCTTTTGCTGAAAATAAATAACTTATAAATCATCATCATCATAAGAAAAATAAAGTAATAATACAGGCATAACTGCTCGGCAGAAATTTGGGGCTAAGCCCAGCTCTGATCAAAGCCGTGATAACTCAATGTACGAGTGCTCGCTTTTAATTAATTCATCAAATTGACAGTTTTAAGTCCTGACTTATCCCGTGCTCAGCGGTGAAGGAAAACATCGTGAGGAAACCTGCATATTTTAGAAATAATAACAAAAAACACATTTCGAAGATATGTGAAGTCTGCGAATTCGCAGTGAGGCCGCGTTGACATTGTGAACTATGCCCTATTACCATTTGTAGTACTGGGGAGGCCTTTGCCCAGCAGTGGGATATGTGCAGGCTGATTCTTCAAAACAAAATACCAGTGCTCGATGGAAAGGCGTGCAAGAAGACTTATTGGCGATCCTGCTCTGGTTACCAGGGGGACTAGGCAGATTGGTTCTTACTAGGGCGAGCACAAGCGAGTATGCAGCATCTCTGTGTTCTATAGGTCACATTCTGAAGAGTGTACACTAGATGTATCCGATCGTTCGGAACCGTCCCGTTTAACAGCCCCATCAACAATATTGGTAATTTATTATTAAAAAAAAAATCGTATATGTAGATCTTTCAAGTTAACGCTACAGTATTTACGTCAGTATGGTTTCTGACTTAACCTTATAATAAGTCAAGTTAGAAATATATTTTTTTAGATTTGAAAATATAAAATAAATTTTAAATTATAAAAATAAATGAAGGCGGCAGCCAAGCTGAAAGTGCCCATCATAAATAGCATTTCAATCAATCGTATACATAGTATCCAGTTAAGATCGTTGTGTATAAGCCCTACACCAGCACCGTCTCGCATTGTTGATATTTCTAATGTAGATTCCTATAATACCCATAAATTTATGAACTCCGTAACATTATTGGGATGGCCCTACTCGTAAGCTGTCCGTAAATGGTCAGAGACAAACACTGTCCGAACCATGACCGAGTAGAGGTCTGACCACGGGTCGGTCTTTATCAACGCGCAGGTCATGAGTGGATTCAGCCGGGATTAGTCTCATCTTTGCCTTTCAGGACGAAAAAAGGACTCGGTCTTGAAGACAGATTCGCACCGTGGCCTGGAATACTGGGAATTTGGGGATCTACAATATTTTGGTTCTGCATCCTTCTGTTAAATGAGAATAAATCTTATCAATAATCTAAAAAAGCAATAAATTTTACAGAAACTAACATATCAAAAACACGTATTTGAAATACTTTGACAGTCTTTAGATAATAAAAAAATCGGTGATTGTTTGGTGTTTGGATAATTATCTAACTCTGTATTCTACAGCTTGTTGCAGATGTTTTATATGTGCTACATCTTATCACATTTGAAAATAATCTGATTGATTGTTTCCGCTTTGTTGCTAAAAATAATATGTAAAATGTTGATTTTCAATAGATAAACACATTTAAGTCGTAAATCATTGTGATCGAACTATAAATAGTCTTTGCTGAAGAATGAAACAATTGCCAACTGCACGTTACTAATTGTTTCTTTTGCGGAAAAAAAATCAGACAAAAACAACCTCCTTCAAAAATCTCGCTCAATTTATATTATTTCGAACTGAATTTTAAGTTTCCTGATGTATGTACCTCAGAATCGAAGGTAAATAAATTTTTCGAGTGCGTCTAAAAATAATGGACTCCTAGGATAAAGTATAAAATAACAAGAAAAAAGTAGTAGCTAATTTAAAAAAGCTTCTTATTTTTGAAGCTGGTTAAAAGGTGCTTCAGCAACACAATTCAATGTCATGAAACGACGCGCATCCCTAGCACCGTAAACGGAGAGAAAGCGTTGTAAAATACAATAATGGGAATAAAATATGAGGCGTAAAGGCTAGGTAATAACAGTCTATGCCAATAATAAAGTGGATGAAAATGGATGAAACTTACTCAACATTGAAAAAAATTAAAGAGATGGAGGAGGCCTCTTCTCGACGAGAAGCTCTTAATAATTAGGAAAAAATGCTAGAAACGTAGGAAGGAATAATTTTCACATCACAATAATTATAAACTATGAAAGAGAAACGTGGTAAATATTTCTTAATCGTAAAATGAAAATTAAATATACTTTTAAGGAAATGAAAGGCTTAATTTACATTATATTAATAACTGAGGCTTTCGGAGCGAGCGCGGACGGTGGTCGATAGATCAGGCTGAAATATGTCACATCGCCAGGAACAGAGAGGCTTGGCTTTCTGTGGACACAGTAAACTAGAAACAGGGCTTAATAGTTACGACTAAAATATATCGTATAATAAGCCTATAGTACCCGGAGGACAGAGCTTTGCTCGGTTTGTTTTTTTTTTTTTTTTTTGGTAAATCGTGTATTTTGGAAATTACATTTAGATACAAATTACTGAGTAATGAAATATGCATAATATTTTTCGATCTTACCGACGTAATAATAAGAAAATATGAACTGATGTTTTTCACAAAAGAAAGAACTTTAAAAAAAAAGGGAAAAAAAAAATAACAAAATAACAAATCGACAAAAAATTAAAAATAAAGAAAGCAATGATCTGGAATCGAAAAAAAAGTAAAAAAATAAATGTGTAAATGATCGTGACGCGAACCACGGCCGTCTATTTTGGGGCCGCCCGATTACCGACCGACCTATTATGACATTTTCTCCTGTGGCGAAATTTACCATCATATTTGAATTAAATTTTTCATTCCCTGAAAACAGGGATAAAATGACATTTTCTAAAAATGAAACCTAGCTAGATCGATTTTTCGCCCCCGAATCTACGCACATACTAAATTTCATGAAAATCGCTGGAGCCGTTTCCGAGATTCCAATTATATATATATACAAGAATTGCTCGTTTAAAGGATAAGATATCGTATAATAAGAACAAAACTGCAATAAAAGAAAATAAATAAAATAACCGGACAAGTGCGTGTTGGACTCTCGCACGTAGGGCTCCGTAGCATTATCTCTAAAAAAATCATGTCTATTGTACGGAAGCCCCATTTAAATATATTTTATTCTGTTGTAATAGCGGCAACAGAAATGCATCATCTGCGAAAATTTCAACTGTCTATCACGGTTCATTCATGGTATATAATACCCTGGAGACAGACATACAGACAGACGGACAGACAGACAGCGGAGTCTTAGTAATAGAGTCCTGTTTTTCCCTTTGTGTACGGAACACTAAAATGTAGAAACAAATTAAAAAAACTCACAAATGCAACGTTGATGACTCCTACCTGACTCCTACCATAAGATCCACTATTTTTATGTCTTATCATACCTACTTTCATTTGTCATCTTATCCTGGCTCCATCCGGATTTGTAGATACTTTGATCGTTATGGCAAGTGGAGGAAGTAGACGAAGAGGTGCCATTAGAAGATTTAGTAAATGTTCTTCACGAATACAAAAACTAACATCAATCAATCGCGGCCTATCGGCGGATATCATTCAAATAATTAAACGATAGTCACTTTCTTAAAACAAATGCCTTATGCGACGATTATAGATTAAATAGATATTTCTATAGGTTTTTTATCAATAATCCATATCGTTTTAATTTTTTTTTTCATTACATATTTCTTTTCAGGCATACACGTTTAATGTTGTTATGTTTCTGGCTTTTGTAAATGGAAGTTTTTAACCTTCCATTTAAAGATAACCACTATAGATACAATTTTCTACATCACTAAATGCTTTTGCGATGACTGAGCAAATGCGGTTGTACCGATGACGCTTGTTATTGTTACGGTTGAATTTTGGATATATAGTAATTTTGGATAGATAGTTGTGTTTTATCTGGTGAGTAAGTTCACTGGAGTCCACTTTATTAAAAGCTGCCAACGCAACATCCGCCCTACGGGTGTAGCAAATGTCCATGAGCGGTTTTTATAAATTATCGTCACGTAAACCAGATTGATGGCAATCTGGTTTACGTTAATTTAAACATCTAAATTGTAATCGAAAAAGAGATGGCAAGCAAAACGATTAAGGCAAGTAAAATAAGGTAGCCAGTAAGATCCAAGCACAACTACTGAGTATTGGTAATACGGTAAGAATTTTATGGATAAATCTGATTTAAATAAAATAATATATTTAAAAAGTAAAAACCTGATGATAGGTTAACAATGTCAAGTGACAAATGTAAAAAAAAAGTAAAATAAGCCTATAAGTGTACCACTGTAGGGCCTCTATACTAAGGGCATAGTCGACCACGTGAGGATTGGCGGACTTCACATAGCTTCGAAATATTTTTTTTTGTGTTATTATGTCCAAATCCAAAATATGCAGGTTTCCTCACGATTTTTTCCTTCACCGTTGAATGATGTGCACGTGAGCAATTATGTGTAATTTATTGAAATTTTCCCACTTAGCGTTTAACAAGTGTCGTTTAAAGGAGGTTCAAGTAACATATCATTTCATACATACTTTGCTGATGTCTTTTGATCCATACGTGGTACTATTGAATTCGTGACAAATATCGTGGAATAATTTAATCTAATAAATCACTGCTGATATCAAGCAAATAATTAAATGACAGAAAGTTTGACAGCAAGAATGTATTAGGGCAAGTTAATTGTTTCATATTATGCTTATTTATCTACATAATTATTTTATGATAGAAACCTTAATTTTAATTTCTTGTCTTCTTCTGAATTATTCTTCGTGTCCAAAGTGTGAACAGTTTCCCGTTTTTAGGATTCAGTACCTCAAAAGGTAAAAAAGGAACCCTGATAAGATCACTCTCTTGTCCGTCTGTCTGTCTGTCGATGTGTCATTACCGATTTTCTAAGGAACGGGTGGACCTAGCATAATAGCAATTTAGATCAGATACTGAAGTCAATAGTCCTCCTAATCAAGGTCCTGAGTCAATACGATAAAAAGATACGGGCAAATTTAGATTTTCGCGAAAATTAAAAGATGTCTTCATACATACAATATAGCTGACGTCAATTAAGATAGACCTCTGAGATGTATGGACGCCCAAAAGTAAAAAAAAAGTACTATTACATACTAGACAATGGTACGGAACTATACATGGGCGACTCCGACTCACACTTGGCCTGTATTTTAACAACTATAATGAAATTTGAGTTCATTCTATTTATTTAGAACTTATTTTACACAAGTGATGGTGCATAGGAAAATGAGCAGACATATAAAAATATTGATTGTTGAACTTTTATTTGTATTCAAATTATTTGTTACAAACAAATTCACTTCTCAAAATGTTATCTAAGTATTGTATCGACTAACCATAAAAATATTCATCATATTAAAATGGCAGCCTGTAATGTAGCAAATATATTAACGACCTAGACAAACCTTACCGAGATTCCTTAATTAAACTTTAACAAACATCAAAAGTTTATAAACAAGGTCCGTAGCGTTTTGGTTTGTTAGGTTCCTGATTGGGTGCCGTAAACGCCGGTGCAATGCAAGGGTTCGTGGCGAAGGTAGCCTGCGTAGGGGGTGGGCCAAAGCACGGTGACAGCGTGTTGGGTCTCGTAGGGCCAAAACAGGGGCTCGGTCTTGCGGAAGCATTCGCACCGTGGCTTTGAACACCGTGAATTCGAGGATCGTACATATTCGGGCGTTGCATTCTGTAATAAGAGTAAAAATGTATCCTATCTATGTATTAATAAGTGAAGAAAAAACTTTATAACTTTTTTTGCGAAAATTGCGCGGACGGAGGAGTACGAAATTTCCCACAGTTATAGTTTATATTATAGAGAAGTGCAGAATGCAAATATTTAAAAAAAAGTACATTAAATAAAATAAAACATTATACACACTACCCTGTATAATTAACTATGGTCGAATTTCGTTCACTGGGCGACCACTAGACTTAAAAATCGTTTCATAAATGTCATGGTCCTGAAGTAACAAACGTAAAAAAAAATACAACCGAAACTTCTCGTTTTTTGAAGTCGACTCAAAATATGGTGATATCTTAATTTATTGTAAAGTTATCAAAGCCTTAAGAAACAAAAAAAAGAGTACCACGTATTTAGTGTTCACACTGAACACGTCGAGTTTATGAAGATCTTTGTTTCTCACGCGTTCTTTTCTCCCACGTTCAACACGAAAACACGCCGTAGATAAAAGGAATCATAGATGTTAAATATCAGCTAGTTAATAATAAGTCCCATAAATTAATTAAAACGTAAAAAATACTTACGTCTTTAATGTGAGTTGATAGTGCTTCAGTAATGAAAACGAATATGCTGGTTGTATGTTAAACGACTTGAGAATTCGTACTCCGTGGACGGTTGCCGAGTTTTTATATATAAATCTTATCTGATTTGAAAATAATCTGATCGATTCCGCTTTGCTGCTAAAAATATAATGAAAAATATTGATTTGTAAGTGATAAACAAAAACGCCTACAACGAATTTGATGGAAAATTTTATGTCACACAAAAATAACCCAAAGCTATTGTGCCTTGCAAAATCTGGTAAAGATAACATTGTAAGCAAAATTACTTCAAATATCACAACTTTCTCATACATACCAATATTACAATCATCAGCTTTCTCTTTGGTAATAATTTTTTTTACTATGCGGTATTTTCATTGAAGTTCTGGTGTAGTTATATCTTGCAGGTATTTATTTTAAATAAAAAAGGCTATATAAAGTAAAAAGTAATTTAATTATACAGACCGTTCCGACTTTCTCGAGGGGGTTTTTCCGTATTTGAGCCAAGATGCCTTGAAGTTTTAGTCGTTTAATATAGTGTAACCTCTCTAGTATTAGCACGTCCCTAGAGATGATCATAGGAGTAATTCAAGCCATTTTAACCTTAACCGGTGTCCACCTTGTGCACCAAGCTATATACGCTTAACTGCATTAATTGTCCTCCCATCAATTCATTGAATTAAATTCCTGGCACCGGCACCACTGAAATTGTTAATTACAACTTAACAAATGCTGAATTATCACGCGCGAGTGAAAATATTGCGAGGAAACCCGCATATTTTCGAGATAATAACAAAAAAAATTTTTTTCGAAGATGTGTGAAGTCTGCCAATTCGCAGAGACCTCAGTGTCCGCTATTACTTTATTTATTTTTTTCAAACGACTTCAAAAACGGAGGAGGTGTCAATTCGTATTTTTTTCTGAACTTTCGACAGAGTGAACCGATTTTGATGATTCTCTTTTTATTTGAAAGCTTGTGCTTCCCATGTGATGCCATATTATAGTATGAATACCGAGCGAGATATTTAAAGTCGGTTTTGTTTTTCGTTAATAGAAAAAATTGAATTGTTCCTGTTAACCAAGCTGCTCCTGTAATGATTAACATGTTTTTAATATCCATATTACCTTCCAAATATTCATTGACAGAACTCCGTGTTCTTATGTATTTTTTTCGCAACGTGATAATCCAACTTTTACGCTGATAAATCTTACCTGATTTCACACTTTACGGTTTTTTAGTAGTTTACAACTGTACTGTTTGAATTGGCTACAGTACCTTAGTTCGTAGTCAGTTTAATAATCGGAATATTAAATTGAAAAATATAAATGGTTTTCGATTTTTCCTCTTAATCATGACATTTTTACTTTATTCTCTATTTAAAACTAAAACTGATACTACTAATTTTCACCAAAATGCGAACTGACAATATTCATGAATTTTATAAAACGGCAAAAACTGATTTGTATGTGTCTATGACACATAGAGAGTTGTTTAAGTTGTGCCGACTTTTTTTTATTAACGTACCACGTTAAACTCTGATAGGGACACGAATGGGCCGTACCGGTTACCCGCATCCGGGTAAGTACCACGATCTCAGAAGACCGTGACGACCAAAAGGCGTGAAGTGGAAGTGTTATACTTCTGCGTTTCGTCTGATGAGTGAGGTTATTGTGTGAGCCCACTTTATTTAAAGGTGGCAACGCATCTGCTGCCCTACGGGTATTGCAATTGTCAATGGGCGGCGGTCATCACTTAACATCAAGTGGAGCGCCAGGTATTAATGTGAAGTTTTTTCATTCAAGCTATTTATTCCTTCAGAAATAAATTGGTGATAGTAAAATAAAAAAAACCTTGAAGAGCATCACAAATATTAACTACCACTACAGACGCTAGACAAGTTTAAAAATGACGTAAAACAACATTATCTATCGCTTTGTAACCCATAGTTTTTAATGGCAATATTTGGATTTAATTCTTCTCCTGTGTATTTATTTATTTTATTTATATGTATTATATATCTATTTATGAATGTTTATTATAATTTTGTTTATTTTATTAAATTTAAGTATATTTTGGTATTAAGCAAGTTTATTGAGCACACCACCTCCCACTATTCATTAGTTTATTTTTCCTCGTCCTAAGGTTGTCTGGAAGAGATCGCTTTTTAACGATAAGACCGCCTTATTGTACCTAGCTTTTAAGACTTATTTTATACTAATTGTATCAAATTATTTGTGGTGTATACTAATAATAATACTAATAATACCAAAATATACCCAAAAAAATAAACCCACAAAGTAATGGTAAGTACATGGACCCAGAATCAACAATATTATTTCAGCCAACGAAAACGTACTCCAAATCACCTTGAGTATATTCTTTGAATACTTAATAATCAAAGTCCGTAGCAATCAGCTAAGGTTTTTCTGGTATTAATTAGCTCATGCAGGCAGGCAAGGCTCGGACCGACAAAATATATAAGTATAAGAGACAAAGAAATAAAGATTATGATAGAAGCAAATGGACGTTCGTGTAGAATGTTATTTGCAAAGTGCAGTTTGGGTAAAGGAAAACTTTGTTTTTACTTTTCAATTTAATTTATATACCAAAATCAATGCTGAAGTTGTAATCTTGAAAAACAAAGTATCTGATAAAGAAGACGTTGAGCGTAATTGGAAAGCAATAATGAATATTAATTGGCAAAAGATAATAGAATTTGAATAATCACTTATTTTTCGATAGCTATCTATTTAGATTGATTTGATACGACCCCTTATATATTATACCTAAAAATGAGTAATAATTTTATTATTTTTACCAATGTCTCTCATCCACCATCCTGTATTATTAGTTATATTATGCGTTTCTTCCACAATGCCTTTTTAAATACACTTTCAGGACTAAACTTTAAATATGCATATGTCACGAGAATTTAATTCCATTAACTTTAAGTGGTATACTTGCTACAAAGTGAGTAACAATTTATGTTTACTTGGCTTTTTCCTTTGTTGACTGATGTTTATGTAGGATAGTGCTGTCTAATGGAACCACTAGTGTATCCAACGTATTAATGTACCCTTCCTCGACCAGATCGATGAGGGGTGACACTTATTTACGATGGCGTTGATGTCGGCTTGGTAATTAGCTACTATATAGCTATATTTTGTATTACTTGGAGTTTATACAAGAAAATTTTCTGCCTTAAGGGTATTTTACTGGACTCGTTAGTTAATCTATAGAGCCGGCTCCAAATGAACGCGGATCTATTTTTAATATATTTGTGATGTGGGTGGTTAATGTTATTCTCGAGTAAAAACTGACTCAAGTCATGTCAGTCAAGTGACTAAGATGTTTGGACATCTTCTCACAAGGTATTGATTGGCCGTATAATCAGATTTGCTCTAACTTTCTTTACAGGCGAGTGTATAATATTTGGACGATAATGAATGAAATGAACATGAAAAGCATGAAAAGCAACAGGTGAGAGGTCGTTTGGTTAACAGTTATATCAGAATAGAATTGTGTCATCCATGAAAAACGCATTACTGACATATCGGTCTCTGAGGATGTCACTCGTGTAGAAAAGAAAAGAAAAGTAGAAGAGACTGACAGAAGCATGGAGAGGGTGTCTTCAACTCTGTATCGAAAAAAGCGAACGATTCGACGGTAGAGACAGAAGACAGGAGGAGACACATAACTATAGTGTTTGTAAATCTTACGGTTGTGAAGTGTCTATGCGACATCGAAGAAGAGCGCACTCGTGCCTATGGGGTGGGGCCTTTTAGGAATGTTCCGTCAAGTGAAATATCTGTTCGAGAGGAATGAGGTCTCCACCTATTAAGAATGATATGTTCATAAAGGCCCAAGACCCTTTCGCTCTAGGTAGTTAATCACTATTAGGTCGAATTAAAGCGATTCGTGGTGCCCTGATTTTATTGTCAAAATTAGGCAGTATGCGATGTTTCAGATCTTGCAGTAGATTGTCCCACACGGTTTGATTATGTTCCGATATGTAGTCGGGCCCGGTTCGAACCTGATTGGTATGGCATAGTTAAGCCGCATTTTTCCCCAAATTAGGCGTCGTAGGATGGGCAGGACGACACTTTCACTGTTCGGTCAGAGTCTGCGACAGCTGTGGTGATTCTTTTACGGAGACTTGCGTTGCCGAACGTTACTATCGCCTCGGGTAGGTTTTCAATATAATGGATGTCCAAGGCCTTGAGTTTGGCCACAAGATAATACCAATCCACGACGGTTTTGATCAACCTATGATCTGTCTAATTCACGGATGGGTCTCTATCGACTCTGCGGTGAGCGAGAACTAACTGGCTCTTTCAATGTCTAATGCTAAACATTCTGTAAAACAACAAATGCAATTATCATACATGGGTCTCGCTTAATTAGCGTCTATAGATCGCCTTGTGGTAGTTAAATTCCCCAAGAGATAGCTATGGGTGGTAAATGCTTATCCATACGCGGATGTTTCTATATGACTAAGCTCAGGAATATCGAGAGGACTACAGTGCAAAGACCATTTTTAATATATAAATTTTTGTGGTGGATACTATAGTAATTGGTGATCTTAAGAATGTGTATACTTTAATGTCTCTTGCACTAGAAAAATATCGACATACATAGCTCTAACGCGTGAATATTAAGTGATTGAGTTAAAGGTTATGTTCCTAGTCGCTGTCTTGACTATTATATAATATTAATCTTTTTACGGCCGTAGTGCCTACTCAAGACGCTGTCGCTTGTAAGCAGCATCTCGTGTTGAAAAAGATCGCTTTACGAATACAAAATATTTGGCAAAACAAACTTTGATACTTTACTCATTTTGTGTGGACTATGGATAACCTAGGTTAAGATGTAACAAAATTTCTTATATTTTTAATAGCAGTAAGTAGGGATTAAAAATTAATATTTTATTACAGACTCGATGGAGTTAGTTAGTTGTAGGTGTATTCTGAATACTGCTACTGGAACTATCAGACGAGTAGACTAGGGCACACCTAGTCTACTCGGTTGGGCTCGTTATTTAGTTTACGTTGAAACCTTACCTTCGGATTTGATAGAGTAACTTAAGATGTTGTTCGAGAACGACTACTGGTACTAATAGACTAATGAAACCAAAATTGTATAGCCGCTTTCAGGAAAGTAACTAATTTAATACGCTTTAATAACTATAGAGAACAATACAGGTAAAATTAATTTTGAAAAAGAATTTTGCACACCCGCAAATTCTAATATTCTTAAGGAATTATCTAAAAGGATTTTTTTTGTATATTTCTATGAGTAAAATAATACAGTTACGTTCTTCACACTGGATCGGGGGATTCGCAGGGAATCCATAAAGGATTTTTCCCACGGAAAAAAAAGTATTATTGAGTTATTGAGTGTCTTGGTTGTATGGATTTTTATGGGATGTTCATCAGCTACGATTGATCTTGTTCCGTACAAATAGCATTGCAATAGTTCACCAAGTATATAGATCATTTTTAATAATTTGCCTAAATCAAGGATAACATTGAGCACAAATAGTTAATAACATTAAAAGTTAACAAAAGTCTTTAATGACTGAAACAGCATATTTTTGTATCTCAGATTTTTCTGAAAGAGTCTATTAAAGTAATTAATGTTGTACTTTAATGTAATCTGATTTATTGAATTTGTAATAAAAGTGTCTTAAAATATTAATAATTTTATTTATTAAAATTTGTAGAAAAGTACGAAAAGATGAGAAGCCACTGTGGGAATCGTACCCACGTCTTCGGCATTCGTGGCCTGACGCTTTAGCCACTAAGCTCTACGGCTGATTTCCACACTGACGAAAATCTTAACGTCTTTTATTAACATTGTTTTTTAGCATTTGAAGCAATGCTTGGGGCATCCATTGTTCCTTTCCAGGATACAAACAATTTTTTTGTACTTTGTTTATTAATTTTAATGTTTAATCTTAAGTGCAGAGAACATGATAAAACTCTTTTTTTATTTAATATCTTGCAAGCAAAATACATATATTCACCATACACATATATTACGGTGGTAGGGCCACGCAGCAGCCTCAGCTGTTGCACGAACGGGCAGGCTCGTCCGGGTAAGTACCACGACCTCACAGAAGACCAGCGTAAAGTGGAAGTATGACAAATACTTTCGCGTTTCGTCTGGTGAGTGACGTAGCCGGAGCCCAATATTCAAAAGGTTGTCAACGCATCTGTAAGCCTCGGGTGTGGCAGATGTCCATGGACATGCGACGGTATTCACTTAACATCAGATGACCCGTCTGCTTGTCTGGCAACTTTTCTCACAAAAAAAAACACCATGTTTAAACAAATATAACGTATCTTATCTTTTGGGTAAAGATAATATTCTTAACTTTCTAATATTCTCACTAATATAATAGTGTCTAGAATTCGTGTTGCGAGGAATTAAGTCAAATATTTTATGATTTGTACTTGCGAAAATTAATGCCACTAACATAAACAACATTTTTTTTTGGAAACATGAACTGTTTTTGCAATTGTTTATGACTCAGGATCATCATCATAATTTCGTAATTATTATTTTATTAAAACTACGTCCTGTATACAGCGTGTCGTTACAACCGCGATAATAAATGAATACACAAATAGAGGATAAAATTGTATTAAACATTTACATTCTTTAAACATCAATATTTACCGCATTATTAAATTTTAATTACCGAGTTATTAAACAAGAACATCCTTAGGTATAAAACGGTAACGTAAAGTTCATTTTTAAAGGTCACAAAGCATATGATTGGATTGAATTTCAAAGAGATAAAACATACTGTCGTAATGAGAGATTTCTCTTACGACGCTGCGGCAACGAATGACAGTGTCTGAATATATGAATCGGTCAGTTGTAGTTGTATAGGATGTTACAAATTTTGTTTCTTTTTTATTTAATTAGTTTGTTTAAAAAACATATTTTTTTAACTATGGATTTTGCAACGTTTTATATTTTTTTATCTTTATTGGCAAATAGCGTTAGTCATGTATTAATTTATTGTTGCGGTTGAAACGAGAAGCTCACTCACTAGCGGAAGACTGCCGAGCGGCAGTCTACATTTGACAAAATCATCTTCATCTTACGCGCCTCACTTATATGAGCGCAATTTTCTGTCTATAACTTTTTATTGGTCTGAAGTTCCAGCCAACTTAATACAAATTCAAATATCTTTATTCAACTTAGAAAAATTAAACACACTTATTGCTTGTCAATATTGAAAAGAAATATTTTTTATATTGACGCAATGCGATAAAACGTAAACAAACCAAACGGAATCGTTCATATCACATAGATTGCAATGATAAGATTAGATGTTGCAATAAGAATAAACATATTTAAACCTCAAAATGATTAAATTATATACTACTTGTTACTTACTCACGTACTTTAATATATTTATGTTTAAAGCAATATTCTTAGTCCATTCAAGTCACAAACGCCCCAAATTCGATTCAAATTTGAATTTGTTTTCGATTCGAACTCACTCTCGATTCGATCTCGATTTGAAAAGCTTACTCCGCGAACCGAATTGAAACTAGAAACAACATCGTGCGTTATCAAATCCGTTAAAGGTTTAATTTACAAATATACTCTATTTGCAAATTTGAAACCTACTATAGTAAATATAGAAACTATCGCTTGTAATGTTTACAAAACCAAATAACTATGAAGTATCCAGTCACAGGAAATACTAAACTGAAAGAAATTTTATTCAAATAAATTTTCTAAACTATGTTGAAAATTTGAAGTTTTTGTAGACAAACAGACCCTGCATACTCCGGGTTACGCGCAGATGCTTTATCAACTTAGGTAAGTAGCATATGGGTATGTATAATATTGTTAGAGCATTGATGATGTGTTAAGCTCCGATAGTAATCAATCTTTTAATCTGTCTACGCGCTGTTGACGCACAGAGTAATCCATTGGTATCTTTATCAGGTGCCTCAAAATTCAAACATAACTCGTTACTTATCATTTTAACAGACGAAATAACTTAATTCAATTAAGTCATTCAATATGAAAAATACATATTAAATCAAAAGAGAGTTCGAAATCTACTTAATCCCAACGTAAAGCGTAAAGAGAATAATTAAACTTGATAATGTTTTGTCTTTTTATTAGGAGAGAAACTCTTTCGAAAGGGAGAATGTAGACTGTTTGTTTTGTAGGTCTTTTTAAACTTTTTATGTTTCTCTCCATTCCTATGCTGTTTTCTGTTTACTCATAAATACTGGGTATGGCAATATAGTGTATTATGTGTTCACTTAAACCTTTCTTAATTTGAATCTTTTCAAAATTGTATGGATGGAGAATAATTTTATTAAAATCAAATGCAATTTTTCTATTTTTTTTATTTTTTGTAAAAAATTAAACACTATACACAGCTGTATAAGATATTTATCATACAAATTTAACTATACCTTACATGGAATGCTATTCCCAATCTCAAGGTTAAGGTTAGATTCTTCTTTCTTAAGGGGTTCTTCTTTTTCTTTTGGAGCCTTTTCTAACGTTACTAAAGAAATGTGTTTCTCTATATGTACAATGTCTTTAGACGTTTTCGTTCCTAGTCTCCTTGTCACTGCGTAGGATAGTAGTTGGAATATGGCCAGTACGATGCCAGGTGCTAACCACGCGTCCGGCACTGAAGACACTGTTTTCGTATAAAGTAAAGAGTACAGGGGCGAAGAAAACGTCTGAGTTGCTGACTCTAATGCCCCCAATACGCTGTAAATTTTACCTGTGAACGAACACGATATTAAAAATCTTCAAAGACCTTTTATAAAATGATTAAAGTAAAAGCAGGCAGTGACTACACTTTATCTTTCAAGTGTCGCAGTTATCGTATAGTTATCTTAAATTATGGTGAAATGAAAAAGCGAAAAACACAAAACGCATGCAAACTGCATTTTGCAATAACATTTATTTAATATTACCTTGTTCTGTGGGCAAAATTTGCTTGTTGAGTATAGGCCTTTGTACAACTTGCGAACCCTGTGATATAATTCCAATCAGCGGAACTGTAAAATGCATAAGAATAATTATAACATATCTTGTTTTTATTTTACTATTCAATTTCGGTTATATTAAATATTACATTGAAAATGGGTCCATTGTAAATGCTTATTGGCGTTCGTAAATATCGGTTTAATTGGCTGTGGTTACCACCAGAGGGTTGGGATGATTTTCAGCTCTTTCAAAGAACCGTTTGAAGCAAAGTTAAAATATACGTTCGACAAAAGTCTAACTTCAATCATTATATGAAGCTTCTCATTTACAATGGCTCGTAGGAATAACTTTGTACTGCAGACATAGTAAAGTAATAATACTTCCATTCTTCAACTTACAGCCCTACAGAAGCCCGGGTTAAAATAAAAATATTATATAGGGAGATTCTTTGATAAGTGCCCAAATTTACACAGGAGGTTCAGACTCGGTAGTATAATCGTTTATTGAAATAAAAAACAAAGTTATATTTCCCAAAAAAAATGCCATTCTATTCCCTAAAAAATAGAACGTGTGTAGTAGTCATTCATAAATATCTAAATTTTACTGTGTACGAACTTGTGTGCGTGCTAGTTATGAATGATCGCGCCTAAAATAAATGAGTTGCGTATAAATCACGCACTTTTTGAGATAAGTTCAAATGAAGGTAATTAATTCCTTACGAGTGATTTTAAATATTTAACATTTTTTATATAACGTACATTATTATGTATGTTATATAAAAATGTTAAATATCTAGAATTTAATAAAAAAATGGATACACTTAGAAAAGCCACCCTGTATATTTTTACTTCAATATGGCAAGTTTGGTTAAGTTTATCAGTGCAACAACAACATAACTCGTCTTTTAGATGTACTAAGGCTAAAAATATTTATACACTGTGTGACCCGTGCAAATTTCCGTCGCACAGTACCAGTATCAGTCACGAAAGGGAAGATAATAATGTCAAAATAAATATTAGTATATTTATTTTGACATTATATAGAGTATACTTTATTATTTCTCATCTAACCAAATTCTCCATACATGACGTTATCATTATATGTTTTTAAGTGAAAAATGTTTTAATTGAATTATTCATTTTTAAAACTTAAATAAGGCTTTAATTTTAAGTTAACTTTTATGAACGATATAAGTAATGATATTGAAAAAAATTTATGGTGTAGATAATATCGTATGAACTTACGTAAAAATACAACAAGAGTTGTAGACGCAGCTATTAGTCCTGAAGTAGCAAGAACGTAGGATATGCAGCTGAGAACACCAACCATCTCATCAGATAATCGTAGCCGTCGTTTGAGCACAGTTAGTATGAGCAATGTGCCTAAAAAACAGACAAAAGATTACCACAAGAATTTGTCATAAGACATAATGGAATACCTAAAAAATAAGAGGTGAAGGTGAAAGTGCACAAATTAATAATTACAATGTCCAACTGTATAATGTACTTGTACTCTCCTCTGTATGTAAATGCCATCAAACTCAAAAACTCAAACCAGAAGCTAACACCTATGGACATGATAGAAACATGTCCACTGATGGCAAATTGCTTTCACCTTAAAATATTGGAGTTATTAAATGTTTTTGACATATTATAGTTATTTCATATATAAGCGGTGATACATTTTAGCATTTTTTAGTCATAAAACTACAAGAAATTAGTGGATGCTGACTAGTACACGAGTTCTGATCCTGTTCACCACGATCCTCAAAATGAAAGCAAAAACATCAGTTCATCGTAAATCATTGACTTAGTAAATTCTTCTTTGAAAACAGTTAAATCTAAATCGGATTCTGGTAGTGGATTCTGTAGTTGACTGGCATTAAACTATAGTGATAAGAGTGACGGCGCAGTTGAAAGTAAGATAATGCCGTCATTTGTTGTGCGGAACTCTTCGCAGATGGTCGTGCTCTAGCACGGTATTAATGGAATTAAAATTTACACGGTATTAAAATAATGATATCGAAATTGGACTATACAAACCTACAAAGCTGACAATGTTCCTGTAAGCAAGGAATGATCCGAACATGACATCATCCCATTTGAATTTATATCTGTAGAACATGTATGCAAGCAACACCTCGGCTGTGAAAAGAAAGAACATATGTATAGTTTCATCTTCTTATATATAAAAATGGATTGCTGTTCGCTAAAACTCCAGAACGGCTAGACCGATATGGCTAATTTTGCTTTTGAAATATTTGTGGCAGTCCAGGGATGGTTTAAACGATGAGAAATTATGGAGAAATTGGATGGAAAATCGAAATAGCAACAATTTTATTTTCCCATACAAACTATACCCATCAACTGTGTCTGTGTTACCTGTTAAACATCTTCAGATTGACAAATCCCCTAGAAATAATTTATAAGGCAAAACAACGTTTCCCGAGTCAGCTAGTACCTACTTATAATAAAAATATACGTTTAAATATGATGGCCCATTTCATTCCTAAGAAATTTTTAAGAATATCTTTTCATCACTTTTTTTACTTTATTTATGTTTTACCAATCACGCTCTATTTATGAAGATTTTAACAAGAAACAAATATAACACTAGTCTACAAAATTTAACTTTTTTTTATACCCAGAAATAAACGTGTATAAATGTGTTAATCTACTTTCCTTAAAAATGTTAGCAGAAATATTTTATCAGGCCATTATTTTTTCCTGCAGTCAAATGTTTTTTGTTACTACCTAACGTGGCCACGACATAACGTAATAAGTACCGACCAGTTTCGGACTCATCGGAGTTCCTTCATCAGGGTCAGTCCTTCATCAGCTGTCTTATTATTACGTTAATTATGTCTCACAAAAGTTTTAATAATTTTATTGTAAATTTGTACAATTATCTGATGAGATGGTTGTTTGAGGAGTTTATATTTTGAAAAAAGAGAAGACTTTTGAAGATTTGTTAAAAAGTGCATATCTTCATTATTTAGGATTTCCTGTTGCAAATCAAGTCATAAAGTGGGTGCCTCATGCATTTTGCGAAAGCTGTAGAATCGTTTTACTCCAGTGGTCATCAGTAGAAACCGTTCACCTTCCATTTGGTTCACCAATGCCATGGACAGAACCTAGTAATTTTGTCAAGACGCTGACACAAACATTGATGCTTTCCGGTATTTACAAAAAGTCTCCAAACCTTACTACCTGAATATATTTATACCTTACTTAACTAAATATATTTATTGTCACAGAAACCCGTAAAATTATGAAAGATTCTCTAATAAAACTCTAAAGAAGTATAGAAGTATAGTCATTACAGATTCATTTTCTGCACTCGCATCAGTTTTTTCTCTAAAAATTTATGAAGTATGAGTGACGAACAAGGGAAACGTTTCTACCAAGATTTTAAGTTTTTTTGTAAAACGATATCAAGGCTTGTGAGATGAAAACATGTTAGGGGATTACTGTTAGTCTATTACAAGAGAAACTGATTTAAATAACTATGAAAAAAAGCAAACATTTGTCCTCTTAATTTTTTTTTGTATTAATACCATATTAAATAATTCCAGTTAATTAAATGAATATGAAACCAGACGTAACAGATTTTTTTTATTATTCTTCTGGATGAAAGCAGCTGGGGTATGAAATTTGGGTTGTGTAGTTTTTTCCAATATAATTTATTCCATGAAAATATTCTTTGGGATGAGTAATTACCGTTTGCAACTGGAAAATAACCTGAATTCGCTCTAATGAAAACGAGTTCGACAAAGCGATACGTATCAAGTTCTTTTGATTAATGATTTCTTTTTTATTACAATTTATCACTCGCGTGGTAAACAATTTCAATATTGACATTAGCGAAATTTAACGAATACGAATATTAAAAATAATTGTTTTAAAATAATACTATCGAACAGCACTATATCGGAAATAACGTTTAGTGGTAACGCCAGTAAATAAATTATGACAATAAAAGATTTTGTACGTCTATTCTTCAGAGAAAATTATATCACATATTCGTTTAGTCACACTTATAGAACAATATCTATCGCTCAAGGTGATATCGAATATAAGCAGGTCTGTAGTGATAACTTATCCTACCAGTTTATCGTTGGGCACCAAAATTTTTCAAAATCTTATCGTACTATATCTAAAAACCAAAAGAAAAACTATTGAAAAACTGTCTGTAACTAAATCAATAATTAGCTGAACGTATTTATTTTTCCTTTTGCAATTAATTTTACAAAACATTATACCTAAGGCATTAACTGATCTGACAACCCTGTAGTCAGGGCAATAAATATCCTCAGCAGGAAAAGAATAACAAACTTTACTGCCAAACTTTTGAAATGGAAATATGTTTTGATTTCTTTCTGAACTTAAATTGTTCAATCGAAAATCTTCCTTATGACAATCTTAGCACATACTGTTATGTACACATACTTTTATGCGCCAAGCATTGCTTCAAATGCTAAAAAAAACAACTAAAAAACACGGTACAATCATTTCGTACTTTTTCTACAAATTTTAATGATTAATCTTAAGTGCAGAGATTAGCACTATAAAAAAATTTAAATTTCTAAAAAGCAATGGCGACATCATTCGTTCGAATTATCGTCGTAAAACGATATTCGAAATTGTAACATGCTGGAAAGGATATAACAATGGATGCGCCAATCATTGCTTCAAATGCAAAAAAAATCAATGTAGATAAAAGATTTTCTTCGGTGTGGCAATCAGCCGTTTAGCTTAGTGGCTAAAGCGTCAGGCCACGAAAGCCGAAGACGTAGGTTCGATTCCCACAGCGGCGACAATCTTTTTGTACATATTCCACAAATTTTCATGATTAATCTAAAGTGCAGAGATGAGCACTATAAAAACATTAGTTAACAACTTTATTTATTTATTTTTTAAGAAATTTCTCGAAGAATTGCTTTTACCTAAACAGCAACAATTTTAATTGCTTGAGAATATCTATGCAGTGGGCTTTGCATTATGTCGTTAACTAGCTTGAACTTGAAAGTACCTCAGCTACACATAGTAATTCCACATAACTTTTATATAAGTATATTTGTATTTTTGTATATCATTAAATGAGATTACTGAGCCAGCCTTATTTAAAGGGTGGCGGTCAACATTATGGGGTGAGCTACTTGATCTTCAAACTTTAAAAAAAAAAACTAAGTGAATTTCATTATTACCAGATAGGAGCATGCGGTCGCCGAGCGCGACTATCAACATGAGGAATATAATGGTTCTTTTGTAGCCGTCCCGGCCCCGCACTAGACACTGGAACGCGTTCAGAGGCAATCTCCAATTGAAAACGGACACTTTGTTATCATTGTTCACGTTGACATCCTTTATCATTAATATCACGTAGAGCAGCGACGCTAACTGGAATTACAAATAAGATAATAATTAGGTCGGAAGGATCCTGATGGCTGGCACACTTACTCGTGGCTTGAGGTTGTTCTTGGCTTGAATCCAAAGACCATCCTGAGAGAGATTTGTCATTAATTAAAAAAATTTAAAATTCAAAAATTGTCAAAAAAAAGTCTAAAAGTAAATCTTAACGAGAGAACTTGTATATTTATAATAAATACAGGATACACAATCATGTTGATGAATAATATTAAGTCTGTAAAGTAAAATTTATGTTAAACATACAGAGTTTTTGATAAATGACACTCAACTTGAAGGAAGACGTTTGAAAAGGAAGAAATAGCTGCGTCAATTATGGAATACTTTTCACATTGCACTTGAATACCGGTTCATCAAGTGTGAAGGAAGACTTTTATGGAAAGCGATCCGAGCATAGACTATACACGTTCTGCTTAGAAATGTATGAAGAAAAAAACAGGGATAATATGAAAAAAAAATGTGTAATGTCAATACAATTTTCTACTAGTGATAGTACTTGACTTTGTTTAACTCATAGTTGCTTTGTCACAAAATGTATGTAATCCTCTGCAAGAGCAAAGCGATATAGCTATATGGCGTTACCGGGAGTGTTTTTAAAGTTACAAAATTTAGTTTAAGATATCTAAATCATTGTTCCAAGAAAACGCAACATAACATCTAGCTAGAACAGCTCACAACGTATTATAGTTACTGCAAAACATTTTGTGAAAATTTAACAATTTATAAATCTATATTTTAACTAAAAAAATTTAAAGTAATAAAAAATGGCTATATCTAACATGTTTTAATCTAAACCTTGGCAAGTTAGGAAGTATTTAGTGTTACAAATCGATTTATGAATGAGGAAACACGAACAAATGAAATGCTAGCTTCACGAAAACGATAACATTTTTCATGGTTATAATTTCTTAAAACATTCTGAATCTGATAATACGCAGAGTACTTTGATCGTTCAAACTTAACAATATATAAATAATTGTAACCAAAATAAAAAAAAAAACAATGATAACACGGCGGCAATATAATCTTATGTAACGTTATCACCACCAAGCCCTTAGCATCGGTGCAAATAAATAACTTCAGTTTAATTACTTAAAGAAAAAGAATTATATTTACTCTTAGGTAAGACAATGTTTGTTATCTATGTTGGCAATTATAAAAAGTGCGGTTATTAACTTATCTATGAAAGGTTCATAAAGGTAGCAGTATGAAAAAGGGGCAATAAAGGACGTAATATGGATTATTAATATTCATTGATGATCTGAATGGCGTAGATGATAGTTATTTTTTTTTATGTGAAAGGTTGCCAAACGAAAAGACGGTTCACCTGATGTTAAGTGAATACCACCGCCCATGGATATCTGCTACACCCGAGGGCTACAAATGCGTTGTCAACTTTTTGATAATTGGGCTCCGGCCACCTCACTCACCAGACGAAACGCGAAAGTATTATACTTCCACTTTACGCTGGTCTTCTGTGAGGTCGCGGTACTTACCCGGACGAGCCTGCCCATTCGTGCAACAGCCGAGGCTGCTGCGTGGCCCTACCACCGTAAAACCAAGTGAACCCGTCTCCTGCGCCAGAGGGTGTAGACGCGATCCTCGCTATTGAGAAAATATTTTGTGATTGACATAGTGTTTTTCTAGTGTCCAGGTGTTTATTTGTATATCTATAATTTGTATTTATTTAAAAAAGAAAAGAATGTTTATCAGTTACGTAGTACCCATAATAGAAGGTTTTCTTTATGTAGACTACTAGATCCCAAGATCTAGACCCATACTTTATAATCATACTTTCTATTTACTCTTTATAATTAGTCCCATTTTTCAGCTTCGAATAGTAATGGTATATAAAAGCATTATATATATGCTTTAATTATTTTTATTACTAGTGAAACTTGTTGGGTTATGTTCTAAGCATTTTAACTATTTTGTGGGAAAATAAATGTTTAAATCTATCTGAAAATTATAAATATCTTAATAGCATAGAAGAATTATTTTATGTTATATTGATCCTGGAGAAAAAAAAGTAGTTCAGTGGTAACATGTCAATGAATTGAATAATTTGTATAGGTCTTTTAATTTTTTTATTTATTAATGAAAATCATGTACCTGCAGTAATAAAACAAGTGGGAACACACCGTAGAATCCTAGATGCCGGTAAAGCAGGGGACCGCTGACTGCACCAATCACGTGGGCTATTTGTATAGCAGCACGGTGACTACCCATCGTGCGTGTTATGTCACGACCGGTCGCGTGGCAGATCTGGAAAGTTGGTGGAACAAGCATAAATTGACAAGTCAAACAAAAGACTTGACTGCATTAAAAATAATAACTATTCCTACACTGTTTTACGCTTTCTTCCTATAATAAATCCTCTGCTGTATGTCTCTTGGTGTACAATAAAGTATATTTTACTTTACTTTTCTGTTTTTTAGCCATGACCGTATTAAACTAACTTCCCACAATTGAGACGATTAATAACACGACATTTGTGTTGATATTTGTTAAAAGTTTAGGCTTTAGTGCATGACAAAGAATTTGACATATTTATGTATATATAATAAATACAAACAAACACATGGATGACTCGGTGGCGTGGTTGGTAAGCTATTGGTATCAGCACCGATGGTTGTGGGTTCGATTCCCACACGATACAAGTATTTGTGTGACCCACAGATAATTGTACCGGATGTTTATACCCAAGAAGGGTTCATGTCAGACAGGCGGCTGTTGCAATAGCAGTTCTTCATTGAATTTATTTTGTCTCGATTGTACTTACATGTACATAGGAAAATCGTGATAATAGCTATTTAATCAAGTAAGTAAACAAGTGCAAATTTTATATCGGCTCTATCACGTATTTCTTTGCCTTTGCTGCACTGAAAAATATATTTACTTAAAGTTTTGAATTGAAGAGAAAATAACTGAAAAACGATTCGCATGTTTTAAAAATGCATTGATTAAGAATATCTAGCGCTGGATTAAAAAGCTCGCGGTCTACATATAAACACTTTACTAATTATATTTTTAAATTACAATTGTCATTAGCTTCCGTTTTTTGTCCGAATGTCATATTGCGCACTTTTACTGCGTTTGTGTTTGTGGTTTGATGAAGTGGAAGTGATACACTTCGGGCGGCAGTTATTACTCAACATCAAGTGACGTTTCCCTTCTCCAGCTCGCTTGGCCACCTTCTCATATACAAAAATAAAATAAACAACATTATATATGGAGTCTTATACAGCTTATTCTCGACAGATACAAAATCTGTATTGATATGTTTAAAATACTCGATCTCATCCAAGTATATCTAATTAAGTTACCTAAGTATGTGTTTTATGTACAAAGAAGATCAAAACAGAAAAGTGACGAAAATCTAAAAATAATTCTCATTAATATCAACTAACCGACATATTCTCTAGTCTTTCTATTTTAACTTTTCTAAAATATATAATATTTCTAAAAAAATATATATAAGAAGAATTTTAAATAACAATAATTACGAACGGTATTTTCCAGAGTGTGTTAATACAAATTTGTCAAAAAAATTCTTGGACTTATATGGTAGGCTAGTCCGGGTAAGTGGCACGACCTCACAGGAAACCGGCGTGAAGTGGAAGTATAATACTTTCGCGTTTCATCTGGTGAGTGAGGCGGAGTCCAATTTCCAAATGGTTGTCAACGCATCTGTAACACTCGGGTGTAGCAGATGTCCATGAGCGGCGGTATTCACTTAATATTAGGTGAACAGTCTGCTCCCTTGGTAACTTTTCATATAAAAAAATGTAGTTTCATTTTACTTATTAAGAAGGATAACAAAACATTTTTGTATAAAACCAACCCTACAAATCGAATAGTGTCATGCGAATACGAACGGATTTCAAAATAAAAAGTCAATTTGACGACCCGAATGGCGTAGTGGGTAGTGTACCTGCTTCCTGCGTCAGAGGGTGCGGGTTCGATCCCCACTACTGGAAAATATTGTGTGAAGAGCATAATGTTTTTCTAGTGTCTGGGTGTTCATATATGTATACGGAGGAGCACACTGAAATGATTGGAAATAAGAAAAACCACATGCACGGTATAGCTAAATTGTATTTTATTGTTTTTCGAAGTATTCTCTGTTCAATTTAATGCACTTTTCCATTCGTGCAAACCAATCATTAAAACAGTAATTCCAGTCTGAAGTTTATGTTGACAAAATGGCTGATTTGTACGCTTCCACAGCTGGTCTGTGGGGTCTTCAAACCGTTGACCGCGTAGTAAATCTTTCATTCTAGGGAATATAAAGAAATCGTTTGGTCTCAGGTCAGGACTGAACGGAGTATGGCAAATCAGCTCAACGTTTTCCTGCTTCAAAAAATAATTTGTCTTCTAAGCCGTATGGGAGCTCGTATTATCGTGAAGTAAGATTATACGACTTTTCGAGTTATTTTTTCGGTGTTCGGCTATCATTTCTGGCAAACAAACCGTGATATACCACTTAGTGGTAACCGTTCTGCGTTCCTGTAAAGGAATTGTAGCAACGTGCCACTTTTTCGAGACAAACGTAGCGACCATTTTCTTTGACACGCTGCGGGAGCGAACCACTTTCGTTAGTTTGACCGTGTCTTCGAAGACCCAAACTGCTGACTGATGTTTTCTTTCAGGTTCATATAAATTAATCCATGATTCGTCACCCGAGAAGATATTATAAACGGCATTTGACTTCCCTCTGTTGAAGCGTTACAGACTATTCCGGCACCAATCTACACGAGCCGCCTTTAGCTCTTCGGACTAATTGTGGGGAACCCAGCGTGAAACTAACTTTCTTACAAACAGCTCATTATGTAATATCGACTGAATTGCAGTCATTCCGAAACTGATAACAGTCCAAATCTGCTCGTATGTCACATTACGGTCATGTAATGTAATAGATCGCTGCGATTTTTTCAGGCATGACCACTGTTCTTGGTCGAACAGTGCTGAGCGACACACGACCGCGTTTGAACTCGGTATACCAGCGATATAACATATGATATGTCGTTTAACTGGTGCTTCAACATCATAAATCGAAACAAGTTCGCTGAGACATTTATCTTTAAATAAGCCGCGACGAAAATTGTGGCATGGAAATGTTCACGCGTGAGCTCCATTTCTGTTAACGACGTGTCAACTTTAAACCAACCAACGTTTTTGTTTTTAACCTTTTTTTAATTGTTTGAATGTCATTAAGATTCTAAGAGGCCAGTATTCAAATTCTAAAAAAAAGGTTTTATTGTAACTCAATCCGAAATATTCTATTCCTGATTATTTCAGTGTGCCTCCCGTAATATGTATTTATATATAAAAGAAAAGTATGTTTAAGTATGTTTATCAGTTACTACCCATAGTACAAGCATTGCTTAGTTTGGGACTAGAGGACGTTGTGAAAAATGTGACCTAAAATACTTTAAAAAAAATTCATATTTTAAGCACTAAATAGACGGTAAACTAAACATCAATTAAACACACAGGGCGCCTGTGCCAGGGCACATGTGTGATCAACAGCGATTATCTTGATCAATACGTAATCTATATTTATTTACGTCGATGATAAGATTCGACGTGTTGTCACGGTTCGGTGCATGGAGATTATTAAGGGCGCCGCTGCTGACTCGGAAAATCAGCACGTCTCGTACAATTGACTGAGCAACCGGAATTTGTGCATCGGTATGCGTTACGCACACACGCTCCCGCACCGACCCAGTTGTGATGGCGCGGAAATCGTTTATCAGACGCGTAACGGATTAGCTTCCTTTACTATATTCAATATAGGATATAATTATATTACGACCTCCTTAGGATAAGTTCAACTGACTTCAAATACAGTCTCATTGCTTGACTTCGACATCATTCTCCCAATATATCGAAATATCATCATATGTTTTTTGCATAAATTTATTTTATTAGTCTACCTAAATAATGTCACCAGTCTATAGCAAAAATCAATTTATACAGAGTTTAAAACAGTCAATTAAACAGGCCAAGACAATCTCTTTTGCCTTTTAACATAAATTTTAAATGTCCTTAAAGTCATCTAGAAATTTAAACTAGATATATCGACTTATACTAATCAATTATTATAAAACAGAATCAATGCTGTGAAAATAAGTATGGAAATATAGAATATATCTTTGTACTTCGAAATATACGAAAATAATAGTGCAAAAAAGAACGTGACATTCAAGTATATGTATTGACAGCGCTCGTAAAATCTTCTTTCTCCTGCGCTGATCCCCCGTAGGCGGAGTCACAGCATCTGAATCTTGTGGTAGCCTGCCTGACATCAATCGTCCTTAGGAATCCAACCCATCTATAGGTCACAAATTACACCAATACTTGTATCTTTTGGGAATCGATCCCGGCGCTGAATGAAATAGCATAGCTACTGCGCTATCAAGTCATCACGGCGCATACACGTCGGACAGCGCTCGTAGACGCTGTCTTATAATCAAAAGCTGATGCTTGAAAATAAATAAATTGGTATCATACTTACATCGCCAACGTGGCTGAAAGATGCCGCCAGAAGCAAACCGAAGTTGCCGCCCAATGAGATCGGTATTTGCACTACGTACAGCACTTGCATTGTTGAAGCACCGGGGAACGTTAGCAATAATAGGACACCGGTGGTCATGACGGTCATGCCAACCAGAGGCATGATGAGCAGTGGCTTCCTACGACCGCTGCAGTCGCTCCATGGGCCCACAAACAACAAAACGATTGTGGACAGCAAGCAACCCACGAAACTCCTGCTGATGTTAACACCAGACACCACCATCTGACTGGCTGCCTGGAAATTCACAGCGAAATTTTATTCGAGCACGTCGCTGCCGCACATTTTACCTCATAGAATAAGGGCTACAACAATTCGTAGTGATTACTCTGAAACAATTACTTGACATTCTATGTAATTGTTTGAGCATGTTTATAAAATCCATCTGTCCTGATAGTCAAATAGTTCTTTGTTCCGACAGTCCTGGGTCGATCTATGTGGTGGTCTGTGGTGCGGCTGTTTAATATGTTTACCGGATCTGGTATATTTTGGATGACGCCGTGGTGTATTAGCCAAAGAATTGGCGACTACGCTTCGGCCCTGACCTCATGGGTTCAATTTCTATACGGGACAACTATTTGTGGTACGAGATATTGTTCCGTATCTGGGGTATTTGTCTTGTATACATGTCTTGTATAACTTGTTGTATGAAACACAGTAAGGGTAATGCATTAAAATGGTGAAATGGAATAGAAATTTATTTTCATGACGATCAATATTTGTGATTATTACCAGCCAATGAGGTGGATTTGATTTGATAAAAATGCACGGAGTACATAAAATTGATAGAGAGAGCCGTGATAGCCCAGTCTCCGGGCCTTTAATTCAATATACTCGAACAACCTGAAATCGATTCCCGGTGCCGGCACCAATGAAGTTTTTAACTTTAAGTGCTGACTTATCACGTACTCCGCGATGATGTAAAACATCGTGAGGAATCCTGAATATTTTCGAAATAATAACAAAAGAAATAGATAAAAGAGAAAAATATTGCGTTATGTATTACGTGCAAAAAGAGTGTATTTGTCGATGTAAGCGTCTTAAAGCTTCTAGTCTTTATCACAATCCATATCGCAAACATGATTTACCGTACTTTGAGCGTGGGAAAGCTTTATAAATGTATCTGAATATCTCAATTTGTTTTTGTTATCAAAGAATGAAATTTTCAGAAGATAAGACAGCATCTGTGAGTTTAACATTTTTCTAAGCAACACATAACTACTAAGTAACGAATACTCTTACTTTTTCCACCTATTTACAGTTAGATCATGAACCTACTTAGGTACATAGCACTCCTATGATCTGTATGTGTTATTTTGGATTGGCTTTGGATTTTGACACACTTGAGAACATATTTACAGATAACGTACCTCAGCAGTTCGAAATTCCTCACCTACACCTCTATCGCACACATCGAATGAGTAACCCAAATCGACTGTGCAAGCTGTTCGTAGATAGAAATTTTGCAAAGAAGTCTGTCCAAGATTTATGGCCATCATCGCACCGGCCAACGCTGGCTCCAGTATAATACTCCATTTCTGAGAAGTTTTATCATCAGGTATGTGGGAATTATTGCTCGTATCATTATTCAAGTCTGTAGATGGTCTGAAAATAAAATATGACATTTTTTAGTTTACATTTTTCTATTATAAAGTAATTATTTTAATTAATAAGAAGATAAGATTAAAATTGTAAATTACACGGATCTAACAAACCTTAGTTTTTCCAATTCTTGGACATCGACTGTACCTTCGGTCATAGCTTAATATTTTCTTTCACTTAAATATTAAATAACAGTTCTATCGCATATTTGATATTCACTACACGATTGAAAGCAACTGCACAGTTTTTGCATCACAGTTATAGTCGAGCCCAAGAGGCGTGCAACCAGTAACGAGTTACTTCTACTAATGTGGATGGACAGATAAGATATCGTTGTATTTGCTCTGTAAATATTGAAAACAATATCGTTTACTAAGGAGATAGTTTATCCCGTGAACTAGATGCGCTATTGTAAACAAGACTATAGTCGTCGGGGCTGAGGTTGCAATGCTTTCGAATGCACGACCAATTTGGCCCAGCCAATTTGGTTCGATTACATCAATTGAGAATGAAACGTGCATATGTACATTGCTAACAATCACATTTATCTTTTGCATACTCAATTTGCCACCTGCTTTTGTAAGTCAAATATACATAATAATTATATCTATTTATTGTCTCCAAAATTATGAACAGTTAAACATATGAAAAACGGTTGTTAGTTATTATTTATGATTGTGATTTTTCTTTGTCATTGTTAATTTTATTAATACTACGTATATTTTCTGTACGTTTCCGTATTAACCGTTAGTTAAACTGATAGATGTATTGGCTTTATTTTCATTCCTACGGTTATTTTTATATATTTCGAACGTAATTGATAACAAACGATATCTTTTATTACTCATGAGGCCGAGGAGAACGTGATATCTGTCACACTCGCAAAAGCGTTCCTTGTAGAACCAGTCGTCAAATGTGTAATTAATGATAGTGCAATACTAACTTAATTTGTTTACTCGCAAACATTCTTCGCTTTCTCTTGACGATATGTTGGAATTTTCGAAAAATAACGGTGATAAACGAGGCTGTGAAATCAGTGACATTGAAACTTCTTAGGAAAGTTATTGAAATAAATTGTACATTTTAACATTTCGACTTTTACATAGATACACAAGAGATAAAATTCACTAATTTTATGAAATTGTTTTCGAAAAGACGAGTGTGATTTATTTGACACTTTAATAAAACAATGAATGTACATAATGAGTAATATAGTTTTTATACACATACACGATAATAATTTTCTAATTTAATAGACAGAGTCACTATCCGCTACGTCAACTGGGTCGTCAAACAAAATTTACTAAATTATTTTGTATCGACTGTGTTCATATATTAGTATAAGTATTTTTAAAGCATGCCTTACCCTGTCTTATAATTAGAACATGAATGAAATTTTTTTAAGCCCTGAAACACCCAACTACAATTTTTCGGGTAATCCTCACTAGATCGTGGGTTTTAAAAATAATCTAGAAATTCACACAACGAAACTAAAATCAAGATCTAAAGAGATCTAAAGATCAAAATCGTTTCGAATAACGAGAAAATACTAAAAAATGAATAAAGCAAAGCACAAATCAAAGAATTTAAATTTTATTCACAGATTAAATGTAATTAATGTGATTGTGAACCAGGGTACCGAATTTTAGAGGTCGGTAGGGGCGGCAATACTTGAACAGCCTATTGGCGGCAAATTTTTAAGGGTTACTATAAGGGTAAATTTGGTTGTAAATATTGCGTACAAGCATATATTGTTTGGATATTTTTACAATAATAGATGCTCCAAGCATTGCTAAAAAATAAATTTAAGCATTAATAAAAAACAATTTAAATAAAATACGTACAGTTTTTCGTTGATGTAGTAATCGGTTACCGTTCAGCTTAATAGTTAAAGCCTCTAGTCGCAAATCGGGAAGACGTGGGTTCGATTGCCGCATCAAGGAAAAACTTTTCGTCCATTTTTTCCTACAAATCTAATGTTTCACCCTAAATTCACATGAGATAAGCACTGTAATTTAAATTTCAAATAGACTTATTTATAAAAAACGGGCGCAGACAAAATTGTCTATCGAAAAAAATCTTCGATTAAGTGTTTGATATTTTCTAAATAAGCATACGATATCCAAGATGTTTACACAGTTAATTCATGTTCCAATGGAACTTATAATATTTAATCATCTACCCACGCCTGCATTCCTCTGTCGTATAAACAGTCACTGCGTAACATACTTTGAGATTATAAGTTCATTTTTTTTTGTTAGAAAATGGCAAACGAGCTGGCGATTCACCTGATGTTAAGTGATAACCGCCTGCCCATGGACATTTGCCACACCAGGTTGCAGATGCGTTGCCACCTCTTAATAATGAAAATCTGGGCCCCGGCTACCTCACTCACCAGACGAAACGCAGTAGTGCAACACTTCTACTTTACGCCGGTCTTCTGTGAGGTCGTGGTACTAACCCGGACGGACCTGCCCATTCGTGCAACAGCGAACACTGTTTCGTGGTCCTACCAGTGTTATCGTTTACTCTTTCTTAAAAGGCCGGCAACGCATTTGTTGCCCTCGGGTGTTGCAGGTGTTCATGGGCGGCGGTAATCACTTACCATCAGGTGAGCCTCCTGCTCGTTTGCCCCTTTTCTCCATAAAAAAAAAATACATATGACATACATAATGATCTAAATGAGTAACATGCTCTAAAGTCAAACAGACGGTCAGTATGAACGACATTTATACCTATTTATTGTCAAGACGAAAATATCTTAGGAGCAAAATGGCTTTCACTTAGTTTTCACTAAAATAAGACCTGTCTTTTTAACTGTTATGTAATTAATATGCACGAACATTGGTAAGAGACGTCTATGAAAGCGGATGAAGAATTCCCCCGATTCATCATTTGACAGCCTTCGCGAATTCCGTGAAGGATCCTTTGTTTGCGCGTCTTCAGTAGAGATAATGTAATGGCTAATTTATATCGGTCACCGAGGCTCAAAGTCAATGGATGACTTTGTCCATTGCTCGTCTCGTATCGAATGCCCACTTGCGTGCACCTCGGTATTTTCATGGCCGCGGCTGAGCGGATCGAGCTCTAAAATAAAACAGTTGAGAATCGCGTTTGGCGGTCGGTACGCGCGAGTGTTACTGGATCTATTACGCGCGCAATTATCTCGGATCGATCTGAATTCTTATCTGAGTGAGCCAAATTGTGTGAAATAGACGTTGTTATATAATCGCTAATCCTATACAAACCCTCGTGGCTAAGTGACGTGATATTTGGTGATGGGGAATTCACAAATGGAACACCATTTATGATTTTTTAGATTATCATGCTATTACAAAAGGAAATGCCTTTTAGCAATATGTTCCTATAATCTATAGCTACTAACAGGTGTTTGCAAACCCAATTAACAAATGTTCACTCGTATTAATTATCGCTATCGGCTTCTGCAAAACGAGTTTGTGTCTGTTAGTATATTGTATTGCGCGGGTGTTTGGAAAGTAGCCTCTATAGTAATGTAATTACGGAAGTATTTCGCGGTTGGTTTTTGATCGAACATAGTCTTTCAGCGCGTCCTTAATTCAGTCAGTCGGAAAAATTTTCTACAACGGTCTTCGCGGTAGTATATGTAAAGGAAACATTGAAAGTGAAACTGCGTTTTTTTCTTAAATGTTTTATTTTAAAAGTAGAGCGGAAGTTATTGTGAATTAAATTTTATATAACTATGTCACAAGTAAGTCTGAGTATTTTATAAAGTAGACTTAGTTAACAGTTATTTTATTTTAATATTAAGCCAGTTATTTTCATTTAAAATTGAATGATTACTTGTATTTCTTAAGGTACAAATAAATCTGTTAAAAAGCTTTACAGCTCTTTTACCACTTGTTTTAAAGGGTAATTTTTCCTTTAGACATCGGAAGAAAGTTTCTTGTATTATATTAACGTTATTTCATAACAACTATATTGCTTTGTTTCATAAAGGCCTTTAGGCAAAAGTTGAAGAATAAGAAACAGCGTGCTCTTAAAACAACAAAATATTCTGAATGTAAAAGACAAAAGAAAATTTTGTTATTTGAAAAAACTAAACTCCTTTTATTTCCAAAGAATCAATCTTAATATAAGTAAGTTCTTAAGTAAATTATGAATAAACCATCTTTAATTCATTATTAATGAAAGTAGGAGCCCGTCACATTTGTTACCGTGTTTTCGAACTTCGTCTGTAGGCTTATTATGAGACAGTCTTCTTAATTTATAAATTTCCTAAAAATTTAAACTCGTTGGTCATCGCCAATTGGTTTCCAAACTAGGCCTTGAGTTGACGTCAGCATGTAGGCAATTACATCAACCGCGGTAATTACTTAAGAAATATTAAATTACTAATTCAAACCGCCAATACGACACCGGTCCCAAACAGAGCCCATAATAGGCTGGCACTGTAAGAACTGGAAACGGGCAGTACACCGAGAATTGTGACGTCAGAGGTTCAAAAGTTGGCTGCCTGCGCACATGAGCAATCAAAGATTACCATTGAATGACATTAGGCGCCATATGGGGCAAGTAACCGGCCTTGGAATAAGCCATTCTTATATTATTCGCGTTACAATTGTCGCTGATATTCAAAAATTAGATTAATCACAACTGCCACTGTACTTCCTAATGAAGTTTGTGTTTTATTCTAATTTATTTTCATTGAAAATTATCTCATGATCTATCCCCTTGGGGAACTCAAGTATGTCCCTAACTTTTTTCTCCGCAACATTTTTGTTAAAAAAGATTATTTTGCGAATTTTATAAAGTTGAATATGTTTTTGAATTATCGATGATTCCAACATTACGGGTTGTTCCAAACGTCGGGAATAAAGAGATATGGATCTTTATAGAAGTGCAGTAAGAACTTCATGAATATTTATAATAATTTACATACCTATACCTTGTTACCTTTATTATGAATTCCCGACTTAAAGGTTTTGCTTGAAGCATACTGTAAAATAAAGAAAAAAATTAATGAAAAAAACACAACAATGAAAATCGTAAAATGGTTTTATTTGACCTCTTACATGGTTTATTAATATTCAGAGATAATTATTATTAGATTTTTTTTTATTGTTTTTAATAAATAAACAACTATGAAACCCGTAGGATTTAGGCATTTTATTACAA